GAGTGATTCCGAGTATTTTGACTGTAATCATGACTATGTTATGAACAGTGCGTTCTGCCGGAGAATTTACAGTTTTGTGAATTAACCGGTAGAGCTTAAAAGAGCAAAATAATTTTAGAGACATAATTTGATAATTCTGACGACAAATATGAGTTCAGAACGAAAAATTGTATAGTCTGGCACTTTCCGTGAAAATCTCGTGAATAGTGTTTCTACTGGGTATTTTGTACTGCTGTTTAAGCAACCGGTAGAGTCCAGAAATAAATAATTGATGAAATAAGAATAAGAAAGTCCAATATATGCCAAGAAAGTCAATATAGGCCCAAGAAAATGATAAGTTTATAAGTTTTAAGTTTCATAAGTAAACGAAGTACAATTAGTGATTCACAGTGCATTTCGTCAAAAACGGTGCAAAAACCATACTGTGAATTATGAATATTGTTTTGTAAGAAATAAAAAGTAATGTAAATGATTTTAGAAAAATAAAAATATGTCCGTAGCTTTAAGTTAATTTCGGGTCAGTTTAAGTAAAAATATGCGTAGGAAAAAATCTGGTAAAGCCACATAGGCTAAAAAGTACATTAAGTGACTCAAAGTCACCACTTTTCCTCATACTCTCTCTCTCCCTCTTCCCTCCCAAACCGTGACAGCCATGGAGAATAGAGCTTAGGGCTTGTTTTGATTTTTCTTTGATTTCTCCATGATTAAGCAACCAAATCTTTGACCCATTATACCAATCTCATAGGAAATCATCCAAGGAAGCTATTCCACCCCTCCATTTGAGCTGATTTCGTTTGTGGAGGGAGATATCCATCACCCCATTTTTGTGCACTATTCATCCAAGGTGGAAAAAGTGAGTTTTTGATGGAGCTTGGCTTGGAGGTTGCTTTCTAGGCTTTGGGAAGTTGATTAATGGTAAGAAACCTTTGTTTCCATGATGTTATTTTGATGGTTTGTGTCATAGAAATTGTGAGCATGTGTTGGTGTGAAATAAATTAGTTTAAAATTTGAATTGATGATGGATTGATGATGTGTTGGATATAGGAATATGGAATAAGCATATGAACATGTATAAAAATTGGAAAAAAAATCCCATGGTGACATACCCTAGATTTCGGCCTTGATAGGGTAATTAGGGGTGATGCACAAAGATTTATTGTATGTATTGGGAAGGTTTAATGTGCTTGAATAAGAGGAAATTTGATGAGTTAGTAAGAATGTTAAATTTGAAAGAAAATCCTTTGAAACATACCCTTGATGTTTCGGCCTTGAAGGATTTAAAGAGCTTGAGATTCCAAAAAAATTAAATAGGAACTTGGTATATATTATATATTTATGTACGTGTAGTTGTTAAATTAAGTGAGGAAAATGTATTGTAAAAGAGAAGGATCCTTGGAAATTCCCTTAAATGAGTCGACATATAGGGTGTTTAGGGAAAGATGTTGTCATATTTTATTTTAATAAAATATGTGTTTCAAAGTATGAAAATGATAAGTCATGAAGTGAAATGGTTTGAAAAGAAATCATGGAAAAATATATTGATTTCCTAATTTTAGGCCCACGGTCCTTTAAAGTAAAATGCTATGATTTATGTTGGAAATTCGTAAGGGAATGGATGATTAAATTAAAGAACACCAACGGGTATAAAGAGGTCTAGACTTGTGTATTGGCATATGATTGGCAAAAATGCAAAGAAATGAAAAGAAGCGATAAAATGTATGCCTTATGTGAAAGCTAGGCATGATGGCATTTTATTAATTGGTATTTGTGGATTCTTGCTCTAGGTGTACCTAGGGACTAAAAAGGAATCAGAATCTCTTGAAGATATATAAGTAACTTGTGCAACAAGTAAGGGTATTGGTAAAGCTTCAAGAGGTAAGCTCTATGTTTAAGGAGTCTTTTCCTGCTTGAGTGCTCCACCATGGTTAGTGAACTATGGTTGGACTGTATGACTGTGATTTAGATGCTTTGTATAGATGCATTCATATAGAGTTATTTGATAACATGATATGTTTTGCTCTGATATGACTTCTGTAATATGATTTATGTAACAATCTTTGGCCATTGATTGTATAGTACCCCGGACGTCCGCTTTGGGGTCCTCCCTCGGGACTGATGGTGTACGCCTCTGTTATGTCTGGTTCCGCTTTGGGGTCCTCCCTCGGGAACACGTGCGTTGATTTCCGCTTGGGGTCCTCCCTTGGGAATGACGGCGCACGCCTCTGATATGATATGGATATATGCTCTGTTCTGTTATGATATCTGCTATATGTTGTATTTGTATACTCTGTATATGACTTTCGTGCAGGAGTGAGGCAGGGGTATGGAGAATTCTCTATAAACCTGGAGCTTATGGAGATTTGTAATCTCACCCCTCGTTGGGGACATATTTTCAGGTGCCCAGATTCCCGGTGAGTCCTCACTAGGCAGGGACACGACACGTGGCTGAGGCAGTTGACAGATCGGATTTTGAGTGGCTGTAGGCTACTACCTTTTTGGAGTGTTTGATGTCTTTTAGTATTTCCGCATTTGATGGATCATGATATTGATCCTTTATTTTGTATGTGGCCTGTATATGTTTTGTACATGTCTGTCACTTTGATGCATGTACATTTGGGTATTCAGGCACGTTATATGATGATGTATTATTCAGTTTATGATTTCTTATTGGATTGCATGCTGATTAGGATAGTGGCACGGAGCCATATTTTGCATGCGCCCATGGATGGGTATCTGATTATATTTGCATGATTGGTACTTCTGGATTAATATGTTGTATAAACTGTTTATCAGGAAATGCTTCTGTGTGGGATTGGAAAATCCCCAGTTGTCCGTTTTATAGAGGAAACTCTGCCCGATTTTCGTTTACGACGAATGAGAATTTAAAAAGAAAAAGAAAAAGTTAGCTCGTATTTTCAGAAGTTAAGTCTTCCGCTGTTTTCTGTTTTATCATATGTATGTTAATTGAACCGGCTCGAGACGGGGATGTTACATATAAGGTCGAGGTTTTATAAATTTTATTTGTATCATTAGTTTCAAAGTCCATTGCCCAAAATAATTTTAAAAGAACCTAATTCAAAATTGGGCTTACCCATTTGCTGCCCCTTAATATCAAATAACCTTAAGTCATTTTTGTTAAATAGTATCAACTTTCAACGCTGCCACTTCATCTTCTTCGGCTGCACTTGCAACATTTGAAGTTTCTGCTATGTTTTCCCACACTTCATTTATACATGTGGGTGGATTTTTTCGATACTTCATCCCTATAACCTATTTCGGGTGGATTTTTTTTCAGATCTTACAACAAGCTATCCCACCGTTTCAGTGATCTTCCCCGACAATCCTATACGATCCCACAATCTTCTGATCTAGCAGCCGTTTCAAATCAATTATGGATGAGAAGATCGCAAAATCGTACGATCATACGATCTAGAATGTGATTTTGACTTCCATGCTTATATAAGTGTAAATTGATCTTGTCCATTTTTTATACATATAATTTTAAAAATATATATATTATGATGAAAAAATAATTGTTATCCTATAAAAGTAATTCTTATATGGAAAAAATATTTATCCTTTTAATTGACAGTCATTTCAGTTTAAACTACTATTTTTTATTTAATATTTAAATTAAAAAAATTTCTCACTTTCTCCTATCATCATGATTTTTATTATTTAACTATTTCTCTCACCATAAAATATGTATAATACAATAATTTTAATTAAAATAACATAATTCTATATTATTTAAAAAGACAAACATTAATCCTTTGTTGTATTGATATTTTTTATCAATTTTAAATTGCATAATTAATTTTTTGAAATTTTGTATCATACATTTAAACAAAGGTATTAAATTTGAATTTGGAAATAATTTTATGACTTAATTCTTTGGCAAAGCCAAACATAAAATTTAATATTATGAATCAATTCTAATTCTCAAATCATTTCCCATTCCAACATTAAAAAAGGTTTAATTTTAAATACACTATATAGCTCAATCCATTAGTATGTTTAAAATTAACTCCTCTCACCATGCGCCCTCCCGTGATGCGGCTCCTTTGCTTAACAGCCACACTGAATCAATTGCATCCAATGGAGGACAAGTGCTTACGTGCAACTATTCAGCCGATAAATACTCAGACTAGCACCGATAAATGCCTGCTACTTCGGTGAACACTGGACAGCTATATGCCAAAATAGATTTTGTTGTGGTTGTATTTTGTTTTTCTAAAATGGCTTCTTCTACTGTTTTTTATTTTTTTTTATTTTGAATATATCTTTAATTTAGTTCCTCAAAATAAGTATGAATCAAATTAATATTTGACAGAATTAGTTACGAAACTAATTTAATCGATGAAATACATGTCAACAATTTTTATCTTTCGGACATTAATATAATATATGCTACATCTTTCAAAATTTAATTTGATAAAAAAAATTTCTACCCAATCTCGGTAGGTGTAATGATAGACCGAGAGCAAACAAGCATTCCACAAATTCCAAGGGAAGGGAATGGAATACTAAATATAGCTCGAGCTCACCTGTTTCATTTTCAAAGGATGTTTTAATTTGTAACAAATCCAATAAATTCAATTACGATTCTTGCTCCCCATCATCGGTTCCAAACTGTCTCCGATTTTGAACCATGGAACTTAACGTTCATGCAAGAGAAAAAAAAAACTCCCAAAACCGGAATTCAGAACAAAGGAACAAACCATAGTTTCTCCTCATAATACCGAAAAAAAATAATAAAAAGTTCATCCTTCTCTTCTTACCTGGTTTGGTTCAGTCCCACCAATCCAGGTAGGTTTTTCACGTGCATGAAAACCCTTCTCATAATTGCACAAACACAACAAAACCAACAACCCATTTCTTGTTTCTGGGGTACAGGAAAACCCTTTTCTTCTTAATTATCTCGTAACTTGTCACCCTACCCTTATTATTATCATTTTTTCCTGTACGCCCAATCGTGTCTCCTCTTCTTTTCTTCAATCATGCATATGCATCCCAATGCATGTATCTTCCTGCTTTGTATCTCTGTTTTGTTGAATGCCCTCTCAGCATCGAGCAACAATGGTGAGTCATTGATGTTGGGGTGTGGGCTGGGTGAAGGTGGTGGAAAAGATGCTGATGGAAGACAATGGAGCCCTGATAACAAGTACCTCAAAGAAGGGAATTCCATCACATCCAAATCCTCATTCCAAGACCCTTCCCTTTTATCTGAGATTCCATACATGACAGCTAGAGTTTTCACATCAGAAGCAACATACAAATTCCCTGTTCAACCCGATAAGCGGTACTGGCTCAGGCTCCATTTCTATCCCTCTGTTTATGGCAGTTTCAACCCTTCCAATTCATATTTCTCTGTCATAGCAAATGGGGTTACCCTTCTCAGCAATTTCAGCGCCTCAATTACATGTCAGGCCCTCTCACAAGCTTACCTTGACAGAGAGTATTCCCTTGCGCCTCTTAATTCAGATACTCTCACTCTTACCTTCAAGCCTTCTGACAAGCACGATGGGGCTTTCGCTTTTGTCAACGGTATTCAGCTGATCCAAATGCCTGAGTTGTTTGATTCAGCTTCGTTGGTGGGTTACACCGACCAAACCGTGGATGCAAAAAGTTTGCATCTTCAGACAATGTTCAGGTTAAACGTTGGTGGGCAATATATATCTCCAGCACAAGATTCTGGTCTGAGCAGAATGTGGTACGATGATACCCCTTACCTATATGGTGCAGCCACTGGTGTCACCAACCAAGCTGCAAAGGATGTCAAAATCAACTACCAGACCATGCCACAGTACATTGCTCCTCCCAATGTCTATTCCACATCACGATCCATGGGCAACAATAAGGATGTCAACATGGGATTCAATCTTACATGGATTTTCCAAGTTGATCCAAATTCCATGTACCTTACCAGGTTGCATTTCTGTGACTACTACTATTCCAAAATCAATGAGATTGTTTTCAATATCTTTGTCAACAATCAAACGGCTCAGGCTCAAGCAGATGTGATAGGGTGGACAGGTGGTAAAGGAGTGCCAACATACAAGGACTATGTTGTGTATGTCCAAGATGAGCCAGGTGATGATCAGCTTTGGCTTGCTTTGCACCCAGCACCTGATACAAAGCCAGAATACTATGATGCAATACTCAATGGGGTGGAGATTTTCAAGCTCAATGACACAAACCTTTCTGGACCCAATCCTCAGCCTTCTGAGATGCTGATTGAACATGAGGAGAAGGACAAGACTTTCCAAGACAATAAACATCATAATAGGACTTTTGTTATTGGTGGAGCTGCTGGAGGTGCCGCAGGTTTTGCCTTAGTGGCTGCAATATGTGTTGCTGTTCACCAAAAGAAGAAGAGAGCTCCGGGATCCTACTCCAACACATCAAGCTGGCTTCCCCTATATGGGAATTCTCACACAACTGGCACCAAATCCACAATGTCAACAGGGAAGAGCGTTGGTAGTAACAACAGATCAGTCATGGCTCAAGGACTGTGCCGCTATTTCTCCTTACAAGAGATGAAGCAAGCAACCAAGAATTTTGATGAGTCCAATGTTATTGGGGTAGGAGGATTTGGAAAGGTTTACAAGGGTGTTATTGATAATGGGGTTCAAGTGGCTATCAAAAGATCGAACCCACAATCAGAACAAGGAGTGAACGAATTCCAGACTGAGATTGAGATGCTTTCCAAATTGAGACACAAGCATTTGGTGTCTTTGATTGGTTTTTGCGAGGAAGATGAGGAAATGTGCCTGGTTTATGACTACATGGATCGTGGCACCATGAGGGAACATCTATACAAGGGAAACAAACCACTTGATACTCTATCATGGAAGCAAAGGTTGGAGATTTGCATTGGAGCTGCAAGAGGCCTTCACTACCTTCACACGGGGGCAAAATATACCATCATTCATAGAGATGTCAAAACAACTAACATCCTCCTTGATGAAAATTGGGTTGCCAAGGTTTCAGATTTTGGATTGTCAAAAACGGGTCCAAACATGAACAATGATGGACATGTTAGTACTGTGGTGAAGGGTAGCTTTGGATACTTGGATCCTGAATATTTCAGGAGACAACAATTGACAGAAAAATCTGATGTCTACTCATTTGGGGTTGTCCTATTTGAGGCCCTATGTGCAAGACCTGCTTTGAATCCTAGCCTTCCAAAGGAACAGGTCAGCCTTGCGGATTGGGCTTTGCTTTGCAAAAGAAAAGGAACACTTGAGGATATTATTGATCCCAATCTAAAGGGAAAGATCCACCCAGAAAGCTTGAAGAAGTTTGCAGATGCTGCTGAAAAGTGTGTGTCTGATCATGGACTTGATCGCCCCTCCATGAATGATCTATTGTGGAATCTAGAATTTGCTCTCAATCTGCAAGAAAACCCCGATGGTCCAACACCCACTTCACGTATTGACCAAGGTGAGTTTGAAGAAGTTAGCTTGGAAAACAACGACATGGCAGCACATTATAAAAACCTTAGCCTTGGAAGTGACTATGAGCTTAGCCAGGACTCAAGTGAGAACTCGGCTGCAATCTTCTCACAAATTGTCAATCCGAAAGGCAGATGAAGATAAATGCTAGTTATGATTGTTCTGCTATAGGAAAGAGCTTCGTGATTTAAGGAGGCCAGGGAATTCAAGACAACAAAACCAGCGTTTTGCGTTGCTTTGAGAGTATACAAATATACAATGCTTTGATTGTTTTTTTTTTTTTTCCTTCTGTTTTTTTCTCTCATTATCACGTTAAATAGCTTATTGTGTCTAATTGTGTATAGCAAACTATTGTATAAGAAGGCGGCAAAATCAAGTTTCCCCTGCCGGTTATGTATAATATACCTACATATAGATAATATTGTAGTTTATCAGTCCTTTTCAGAAAAATCTGCATAGACAGCATTTGGATTATGTATGCTGTATTGTAAGAAATTGGGATTTATATTATGCAAATGATTTATATTTATTTATATTTAATTCTACTTTTACTAGAGAAAAATGTTTATCCTTTCAAATGACACAACTTATGTCATTTCACTCTCACAAAGAGGTGGGACCCATATCTTTACTTTTTTTTGTCAACTCTCTCTTTCTCTCTCTTAAAATGACACAACTTTACGTCCTTTAAAATGACACACACTTTTTCCTTTTACCTATGATAGCGCGAGTGAGGTTATAAAGAGAAAACCTGGCAAAAAAATTTATTTATTGCAATTTAATTAAATAATTACGCAAATATGACACTTTGAGGAGTATTTACAGATCTATTGCACACTGTGACACCCCTTTTGGGCGTCACATGTGACACCCCAGTGAGGCGTCTCTCATGAAGGAGAAGACGCCCCAATGGGGCGTCTCATGTGCAATGCTATAAATACCCCATTTTTTCCATTTCACTCCTCACTCATTCACCTCTCTCCGAAGCTCTGCCGACTTAGGTAAGATCGTAATACCTCCTATGTATACATTTAAATTACACTGCTAGTTAGTAATACATGTTAGGATTGATCGTATATTAGAGATTTAGAACATTAGGATAGTCACTTAAAAATTTTGTGTCATGCTATGAATGTTGTAATGATACTCCTTTTTTTTGTTACGTAGTTATTATTATTAATATTTAATTATGCATTAGGGTTTAGCGTATTACTTAGTGATTTAGAAAATAGTGATAGTGAGATCGTAAATTTTGTATGTATGATGTTATTAATGCGGGAATTTATTCAAGATTTTGTAGTCAGTTAGGTGTGATGATTAGTTCATATTTATGAAGTTATTAGTGACCTAGGGTTAAGTATTCTGTAAGTATTACATTATTTTTGTCCAATGTTTTTTTATTATTTAATTACAAATAAATGATTGTACTACGTATTAACATTATTTCATTAATTTCAATTCTAGTAAAATAAATGACGCGTATGCTTAAATTTTTTGATAATTAATTATGGCATTGCTTAATTAATTTGTAAATAAAATGGGGCTTTGCATGTGATTAATTTAAATGTTGTTTTATATGATATAGTTGAGGGTAATGGCTGATTCATCATCTTCATCGGGTTATGCATCGGATGTAGAGCCTACCGATCCCAGCATGTACATCATACCTAGGCCGTACAGATGGGACGTCCTTCGTAAGAGGATGCAACGTGCTCATATTTCACAGCGAGTGTGGAATACGGAGCATGTCAGGAAAATAAAGTCCAGGCGTGGGAAGCCAATGGGGGGGCCACCTACCAGCGCTATCCCAGAGGTTGTCGCAGACTACCTGACACAGACAGGACTTATACATGTTGCCCGGATGCGACATATCCAGGTATGCAATTTAACTTATTTTGTATTTATGTAATTATTCAATATCATTCGTTAACACGCTGTAATTGCATAATTTATCACAGATCGATGCCCCTTTAATTAGTGCTCTGGTCGAGAGGTGGAGACCAGAGAAACATACTTTCCACATGACCCAAGGTGAGATGACTATCACCTTGCAAGATGTGGCAGGCATATTGGGCTTGCCTACTGATGGGGCTGTCGTCACCGGCTCTACCTCTGAGGATTAGCCCGCTGCTTGTGGGGCTGTATTTGGCGCGGTTCCACAGCCAAATGAGTTCCATCATTCAGGCGACTTGCGTATCTCATACTTAGATCGGTTATATACCCGGTGGACCGATCATGCCGGGGATCATGATGCCGAGATCTACTTCACAAAGGCGCACATTGCCAGGATGCTGGGTTCTTGGTTGCTGGCGGACAAGTCTGGAGGAAGCAATTTCGGTTGTCGGCTAGTCTCGTTGCTTGGGGGAGGATTTGATGAGATTGGCCGCTTCAACTGGGGATTTGCGGTTCTGTCACACCTGTTCATGAATTTGTGTAAATTGACAGATGTCGGTCGATCTGACATGGGTGGTTGCCATATTCTCCTTCAGATCTGGGCATGGATATGATTCCCACCCATTGCTCTGTCGTTTCCTCCTCATCCAGAGCCGGGCACGCATTATGGATGCCGGTATGCTTTGCTAAACATATAAAATAACGCTAATGATTTATCATATATACTATTTTTATACTTCTTGATTATGATTGCTGATGTATGTTTCTGATGACAGGTTCAATACAGTAGCAAAGTTTAAACCTCATGAGGTCACTCATTATCGAGCAACCTTGGATACACTTTGTAGAGATGAGGTATGGTGGTCCATACTTAGTATGTTGTTATTTCACATTGCATGTATATTAATTTGTAACTCCTTATATTCAAATTTCATTTTGAGTGTAGGTGTTGTGGCAACCATATATCGATTACCAGTGGCTGGACGTGACTGCACACGAGCAGTACCTTTGGCTTGCTGTCAGTCCCCTTATTTACTTTCACACCGTAGAGGCATGTCAACCGTATAGGTATATGCGGCAGTTTGGACTGGATCAACCCATCCCGGAAGTGAGCAGAAAGTTGAGAGGGATACATGATCATACTCTACGGGGGAAGGTTGAAGAGAACTGGAGGCGTAAGCTTAGTCCTTGGATAGCAAGATGGCAGGCCAGGGAGCATATTGTTGTGCCCCCTCCATTACCAGGTTTGATGTCACCTAATCATGCGTACATGGAGTGGTACAGAGCGAGGGGAAAAAGATACATCTCTCGGAGGGCAACAAAGTTGGGACGAATGGTGAGTTTGTAACATTTGTGCAAACATACATTTTTACATTTTATAATGACATTGCTAACACATTTTGTTATACAGATTGACGGGCTAGAAATGGTGTATCATGCAACAACTATAGAGGAGTTTTCACGAGTCGGTTTAGAGTATATCCACGAGGAGATTGGCAGGCTTATTGGAATATTTCGGGAGAATTCACGAGTTGATGAGCCTGGACCTGAGGCACCACCAGGCCAGTCACATCAGGATCCGCAGTTATCCCTGGATGTTCCCCAAAAGCGAGTTGAGGGACGCGAATTAGGATGTACCCGTGAGCGAATAGCTGCTGACCCTGTCCCGATTATGGCACCGAGACCAGTGGTCGAGACTCAGGGATGGTTCAGACCTCCCGTTATTAGGACTACTTACGGGTCCCAGCCGACGTATCATCACGGATCGCAGTCGACGTCTGAGCACCTGATATGCGTCTAACATATGGTGATTTCTAAGTAAAAGAAGCAAGGAATTAATCATAAATGTGTGAAAATAAGCTCATAAATGCAAGAAATATTGATTATTCCTTCTCAATCATTATCTCACTCAATTTATGCATTTTGATAGCAGGAAACACCAAAAAGAAGTGAAAGAGAGAAGTTGAAATTAGGGGTGTTCATCAACCGATCCAAACCGATTCAAACCACAAAATCCAAACCGAAAAACCGATAACTGAATAAACCGAAAACTGAAAAATCGGAAATCGAAAGAAAACCGCAAATTTTAATTGGATTGGATCGGTTTTCGGATGGGTTGATGAAAACCGATCCAATCCAAACTGATCCAATATATTAATTATCCTCTACCTACTTGTCCTTTCTCCAATCATAGCCCAAAGATTTCTAAACTCAAGACCCATTAACTCATCAACTAAACTAAAAAAAAACTTAGTCACGTCTCATCAACTATAGTATTTGTTTACTGATATTTTTGTATTTCAAATTATTTTTTTTACAAAGCCAATATATACAAAAGATGTTATTTGCACAATAATCATGAAACTAATTTTAGGATATTCAAAAAACTGAAAACCGATCCAATCCAAACCAAAAAAATTTGAATTGGATCGGATCGGATTTGAAAAAAAATCTAAACTGAATGGATGATTACATAATCAAACCGAATGGATTGGATCGGACAAGTTTTGCTTCCAAAACCGATCCAATCCAGACCGCGAACACCCCTAGTTTATAGGGGTGTTCATCAACCGATCCAAACTGATTCAATCCGCGGTGACCGAACCGAAAAACCGATAACCGAATAAACCGAAAACCGAAAAATCAAAAACAAAAAAAAAAACCGCAAATTTTAATTGGATTGGATCGGTTTTTGGATGGGTTGATGAAAACCGATCCAATCCAAATCGATCCAATATATTAATTCTCTTACACCTACTTGGATATTTCCTTAATCATAGCCTACAAATTTTTAAACTCAGGACCTATTAACCTATCTTCTAAACCTAAGAAAAAATTTAGTCACATCTCATCAATAAAATTTTATCTTCTTTGAGCTTCATATCTCATTGCAAAAAAAAAAACTATATTATAGTATACTAATGTTTTTTTATTTCAATTTTTTTTACAAATCCAATATATACAAAAGATGTTATTTTCAAAATAATCACGAAATAAATTTTAGGATTTTCAAAAAACCGAAAACCGATCCAATCGAAACCGAAAAAAATTGGATTGGATCGGATTTGGAAAAAAATCCAAACCGAATGGATGATTATATGATCAAACCTAAAGGATTGGATCAGATGATTTTTGCTTCTAAAACGATCCATTCCAGACCGCGAACACCCCTACTAGTTGAAATTGCATAGTCTCGCGCAAAACGCGCGAAAATGGTGCGATCCGCGTGATTTTGGAAAATTACTTTCTGTTTGTCCGCGCGGATTTGGCGTTGATCGCGCAGGCGTCATGAATGCAGTCCTTGATTTGTGGAGTCGCGAATTTGACACTGATCGCGCGGGCGTCATGAATGCATTCCTTGATTTGTGCTGTTTGATGAAAATAGAAATTTAATCAAATTAATGAGAGGATTATGACCTGATTGATTGGTGGAATTATGAGAAAAATGGAAATTTAATCAGAATTAATTAGAGGATTATGACCTGATTGATTGGTGAAATTATGAGGAAAATGGAAATTTAATCAGAATTAATTCAAGGATTATGACCTGATTGAGTAGCTGGCTATATAAAGGAAGCAAAAACTCTAAAAGAAAAGCATCTTTTGGCAAGGAGAAACTGGAGAGGAAGCTCTCGGTGACTGAAGATTCAAGACCTCTTCTTCTTCTGGTTTTACTTTTTCATGAACTCTTTCTCATTATTTAAATTGTCAGACATGAATATATCTGACTAGTCTTTTATTATTGTGGTAAGGGTCACAACCCTTGATGTGAACCCCTTGTAGTTTGGTTAAATTTATATTTAATTATTTCAATTGCATTTATTTTATCTTGTTCTTCATCTATAATTCTTTTAGAATTGATCACTCTATTAGGATTGCGAGGGTTAGGGTTTTCAATAGAAATATTGGGATTCTAGTTCCTGACAAAGGGTAAAATAACAGTTCGTGTATGCACTAGTGCATGCATGAATAGAACTTTGCTCAGTATATTTTTATAGTTATTTTTTTATGATTGTAAAATTTTTAATACTCACTAGTGAAATTTATATCTCGTGTAAAAAAATGCAGCAATTTATGAACACATTAATGACTTGTAATGTCAAGCGAATATTTTAAAAATTGTTAAAAATATTTTTAAATTTTTAAAAATATTTCACTATGGAGGCCTACAAGGCCTCTAGGCCATATAAGGCTCTCTAATTTTTAAAAATAGGTCAGGCTTGACCTATAAATAAAGCTTTTAGTAGGCCAGATAGGCTGAATATTTTTTTACGTAGGTTTAGGCCAGGAAGGCCAAAGCCCAGCCCAGCCTGACCCATTTACATCTCTAGTCAGGGCCAATCTCTTTCTTATGTTGGACTATTCTTATCGAAATCTGTCTTTACTTATGGACAGCTATATGTTGCTATTTCTAGAGTAAAATCTAGGAATGATTTGAATATTTTAATTTTAGATGAAAATAAAAATTCATGTAAAAAAACTAACAATGTTTTTTTTTACCAATAAGTGTATCAAAAGATTTGAACTTTAATACATGAGTCTTTAGTCTTCTATTTAAATTTTGTAACTTTTATTGCATTCATATTCCCTTCAAATTTTATTCTTTTGTATTTTACAATCTTTATCATATAATATTCATATCAAATATAATAAAAATTATTCCATCAAATACTAGTTAATATAATATTACCGGACTCATTATATATTAACTCCTTTGCACTTAAGTAAACATATATATAACTACCAAAAAAAAAAAAAGTAAACATATATGAATAATGGTTGTAAACATAAATTAATTGATAATCATGCCTCAACCCATTTCAAGATGATTTGGTTTAATTAGTTTAAATCATTGAGCTATGATTTTATTAAATGTTATACATTCTATTTGATCCATGAACAATGGTTTGGTTAGTTTAAAGCCTATGTCTAGTTCATAGGAATTAAATGTTATGCATTCTATTTAATTTAACATCACAAGAAATAGCTACCCTGTGAAATGGAAATAGTAAGTAACCATAAATGTCTGGTAAAGCTAAGGTGTTGGATTTGTACAGCTATCAACACAATCCAGAAGTTTTGTACCACTCCAATGTCATCTGAGGGAGAATTCAAAGAACCAATTCATGTTCAAATTTTGTAAGTTGCAAAACAAGAATAAAGTACAAAATCACATTGGTTTCAATTCAGAAATTCATTTAAAAATTTCAATTAACTCTCAGATAAAACCTGAATACTAACACATTTGTAAGGAAGATTTTCCCCATTTTGTTTTAATTAGTGGTTAAAAAGTTAAGACGCTTAAAATCCATGTGCTGAGTTATTAATATTTCCCAATAAAAACACATACCCAACCGAAAACCAAAACCAAAAGCCAAAAGCCAAAAAGCAGTTTCAATACGTAATCTCCAAAGGTATCCAAGTGCCTCCGCTGACTTACATTCTCGACCGTAGATAAGCCTCCACCCAAAGGCTCATATTTAAACATTATCAAACATTCTCGATCCGTGCGACCTAATTTCCACCAATCAGCGCTCACCATTTCCCTCTCTCCACGCTCTATATAAAATCGCTTCCTACAAAGTCCTCTTGCATATCTTTCTCCCTCATAAGCGGTTATTCTAATTCTTCAGTGTGTCATTTCAGCCATGTCCACCGTCGCAGCAGCGCAACCCAAGGCCAAGAAAACGGCGGCGTCAAAGAAGCCACCGTCGCATCCTCCCTTCGCCGAGGTACTTCCCTTCCCAATTAGTTGTGTTAATTTGAGTCTTTTTTTTTTATGTCTGTAAATCATGAATTCTCATTGATTGTGTTTTTTTGTCTATTTCAGATGATAACGGATGCGGTCGCGAGTTTGAAGGAGAGAACCGGTTCGAGCCAGTATGCGATCACCAAGTTCATCGAGGAGAAGCACAAGGACCTACCTCCTTCCTTCCGGAAGCTTATTCTTAACTACCTTAAGAAGTCGGTGGCCGCCGGCAAACTTATTAAGGTTAAGAACTCCTTCAAGCTGCCATCGACTAAACCGGCTCCGGCTAAGGCTACTACTACTGTTCCTGCTACCAAGAAGCCTAAAGCCGTGTCTAAGCCAAATGCCAAGCCCAAGCCCAAGCCCAAGGCTGCGGCGGTTAGTGTTAAGCCCAAAGCAAAGCCGACTAAGGTGACGGCGGCGAAGAAGAAGGTGGCTGCTAAGCCTGCAAGGAAGACACCGGTAAAGGCTGTGAAGAAACCTAAGAGCGTGAAATCGCCGGCGAAGAAGGCTAAGAAGGATAAGAAGTGAGAAATTGGAGCGGTTTTGGGTTTATATTTGGTCACTTAGTGCTGTGTGTTTCAGTCTTATTATTATAAATAGATATAATGTTAGGATGCTGTTCATGTAAATTCCTTTGGTGTATTTCTGAATTTAATATAGTTTCCGGCGATTAACTTTTCCGATTTTCTCTTACCGGAAGTTGCAAAATAAAGCTTTCTTATCTGCATCTACTTTGCAATTTTATGTGTCACTGCATTTAAACCTAATCGCCTTTCTAAAATATGAATTCAAAATGATAAGAGTATCATTCGTGAGATTTTCGGAATATACCTAAATGTTGCATACCCATCGAGATTTTGTAAGATTATTTAAAATAAGAGTAAAGCTTTTTTTTTTATTCCTAATAAAAAAATATGGTTCCATTTTTGTTTTTTTCAATATATAAATTAACTTTTGATTTTTTTACAATTTTAGTTCTTTGAAAATGTGATTCTTAAAAAATTCAATGAATATTTAATTTAATTCTTCAAAAAAGATTAGTATTGGTATTTATATTAATAATTTATTTTCGTTCATAATTTTTTATAACCATATTTTAATTGTTACTTTTGTTAATTTAATGGGTATAAATTATTAGAATACATTTATTAATTTTCAATAGATTATAAGAAATGATTAAAAGATGTTGATAAGAAATAATTAAAAGATGTTGAAATAGATTGGAAGTATATCCTCCTTCTCCTCTTTAAATGATACCAAAAATTGTATTAATCTTATTTTAACATGTTAGGGCTAGAAGGCTTTTTATTTTCGTCTTAGACCTATGAAGAGGATTTGACTCATCCAAACGGATGAGAGGGTGGATCAGTTACCCTTCTAGGTATTAAAAGGTGAAATAAGTATTGCTTAAGTTTAGGCAGAAGAAACGCTGATTAATGGTAAACCGTAAAAAGGATTTGATTCTCCTCTCTCTCTCTTTTTTTTTTTTTAATGTCATACGCTACAATTTCAAATTATTTTCGTATTGAATTTTTCTTCAAATCCTAATATCATTTTTCGACCATACAAAACAATGCTGCAGCAAATAATTAATACATTAAAACAAAGAAAAAAGGTTATAGTACAACTTTTTCTTTTTTTAACACTGTTGATTTCCGTCAAATAACAGTTGTCATTTATTATGAATTAATAATTAATTAATAAATTTAATTTATAAAAATAATAACCGTTAATTGACGAAAATTAACGTTGTAAGAGGTTGTAAAAAAACAAAAAAATTATAAATATAACCTTCCTCTAAATCAAAATACAAACAATTTTACCAAAAAAAACAAAAAACAATGCAAACTCAATCTTACAACAATGAAAAGGAGCACCATATGATCATAATATTTAAAACAACTATTCAACACTCATAATGTAAAACCGTATAACATCCCAAATGCTAAATGCAAATCCTACAGAAAGATATAATATAATATATTTCATATAACTTATACCAAATCCGGGGGACTAGTCTGGGGAAACATCACATTTTGGTACACATATTACATGAATAAGTCCATATCATTATATAAAACATGATGTGTACCAATATAACTTACAAAACAAAACATATACACCGCAAGTTAACACAAATCACAAAAGTCAGTTATAAAATAGGGCCAATCAATCTCTCGTGCAAACAGTGAGGAAAATGAAGGCTATTTTCCAACAACTCATGATTGGACTGATATGTCTGCATTTGCCTGCTCGGTGATCTTAGGAGGAGCTGTTTTAGTTTCCTTATCCACTTTTGATCGTTCTTTGGTTTTGCAAGCGCCGTTGCTGTTGCGTCGAATGAACTGGTCCTGGTCCTTATTTTTCTGAATGAAAGAGCTATTCGAACCACCTTTGATGTGACTACCAACGCTGTGACGTGCTCGGCCACAAACTTCTGGAGATGAGTTCAAAGCATCACCAAAGCTCCTTCTCCGATTTAGATTTAGTTTCGGTGACTTGGGGCGAGTCAGTGGCAACTGCCAACAAAAGGACAGAATAAAAAAATGATGTTACATGTGACGATGATGCAATTTAGTTATGCATGCAAATCATCCTGTTGTTGTATTGAATCCCTTCAATGAAAATTCAGAAATTCTGAATGGTAGTTTCATATTCATCATCATGACATTAGGAAAAGACAAGACACATGGGAAAAGAGGAAAGAGTAGTACCTTCTTGAGTTCTGGCTTAGGCGGAGGCCCCTCATAGTAGAAACTTGGTACAGGATTTGCTTTGATTACCAAGTTCTTTCTCAACTGCTTGATTGCTGATTCTTGCTCTTCCTATAAAGTTTATTATTAATTATTAAATAAAGAATCAACATGGGAAGAGAAACGTAAAACAAGTCATCCATGTTCATAGGCTAAAGACCCAGGCTTTGGTAATTGGTATAAGGGGTGAGATATTTTTACTAAGAGGAGGAGACAGAAAGAAAAGCATCAAGTAAAAAAAATTTAAAATATCATACTGTGCATCATGCAATTCAAAGAGAAAGACCACAGTACCTTTTGCCTTGCCTCATACTGGCTTTTTTCTTCTTCAAGAGCTCGATGTTTCTCCTCTAACTTCAGATAAAACTGGATAGATAAATTAAAATGATAACATTAACACTGAATATCATCTGTTTAGCAGAATATATATCAGAATTAACTTGTAAAGTAAATCAATACCTCCCTCCGTTTCTCTGCACGTTCCGAGCATCTAAATGAAGGGGCCGAACCTAGAGTTACCTTAGCTCTGGCAGTGCGCATAGATACAGCACTGATATCGGTGGTTAAAGAATAAATGATAGAATAATAGCCTATTATGATATATGTAGGCAATGTTTAACTATATTTAGAGGGTTCCAAAATCCAATTATTATCTGATTAAAATCCATATAAGAAGAAGCTTTAAATGTTTAGAAGTATCCCTGGGGCAGAGGTTCTTCTAATATATCTAAAACTTGTCTGCTCAGAATAAACCATCCAAGTATCCAAAAAAAAGAATAAACCATCAAAATATTCAAGTTTAGAGGATACGAGGAAGCAATAGACCAATTATCTTCATCATCATAATTCTTCTTATCTTGTAGCAAGGGCTTACTGGATGAAAAAGGTGAGTTTGTCTGCAAACAGACGGAAAAACTTTATCAGTAATCTCATAAATACACACAAATAGCATTACATGCAACTGCATAACGTCCCTGCAAATGTCAATAAATATAAATAGAAGTCTGTTGTCATCAAAATCTATAACAAATTAGCACCATTTCCAAACAATATCCTTTTATGTATTTCTTTTGCATGGTATTTTGAGTCTTCCATACTTTTCATTTGGGTTCATCTACCACCGACTCTAACAAATTTGGAATAAAAGAATTTTTGATGCTGATGTTGTTGATGGTATTTTGAGCCTCCAAAGATTGAATGAATTTAAAATTGACCAGTGCAACCCTTAAACCTAATCACTCCTTGGCTGGTATGCATGTCTCGAATTGTTTAATCAATGGCTTATAAGATATCCCCATTTTGGGCTTTAAAAAGACTCTCTTAGTAGGCTTGTTTAAATGGCGACAGGAGTGGAAAATAATCCTCTGTCAGAGAAACATATCTCACACAAACAAGCATGTATTATAAACAAAGAAGGATCTTACTTCTGTCACTTTCTAACAAATTCACCTTCTCATTCCTAAGGTACAACTGGAAACAACCTAATAACAAATTTTATGCACAACATGTACTGGTTCCATTATGCATCTTTGGCTCAGTTCACAGAGTACTTATGAATTTAAGTGGTTCATGCTTCAATTTCAAAATGTGATGACATGACAACAAGCAAGACCATCAATTACCTGTGAATTCTTTGATGAGTAAGGTGAGTTCAAGTTGTTAGCATTTGGTGACGAGTTTAGACCAGCTGCAACAGCTTCAGTATCAACAATCTGTGTGAAGGATCCATGCTTTTCAGATACCAGATCAGATGGCTGTGGAACAGAGTGATTTGTAAGCTCTTCTCTCGCAGCAGGTGAGCTTAACTCTTTATGGTCACCTGTGTTCTGCACTTCAGATTTCTCATTCTCCTCCTCAGGCAAGTCAGTACTACAATTTGTGGTGTTGGTACTCAAAACATCCTTCTCATGACATTTCTCAACAAAAGAATTGGCTTCGGTACATTCCTTTACTTCATGATCCATTGCGTGAACCATAGCTGCAGCAATCTTAGGAGAAATGTGTGTTTTATCATCAGAACTACCATTTGAAGCAGCTTTGACACCATTTGGCTTCTTGTCCAACACCTGTATTCCTGTAACTTTCCTCCCCATGACGCTGCATGATATAATTTACCAGATGAGCAACAAAACACTTCGACCAAGATAAATGTAGAAGCGTTATACTTATGCAGGAATAGGTGTTTTCTATCAGCCTAAAAATTCAATAAATATAGCAAAATCAAAACAGAAGACTATATATATGCTAGAGAGTAAACAAAAATTACTCCATATCTTTAGGATCGACTTATTACATGGCCCTTAAACTAAAGGTAAAAGATTGAGGGATGAGTTTAAGTTCTTCATAAAGATAAAAAAAAAATGGTAAACAAAAGTTATTCTTCCAAATGAAGGCTTAAACAGATCCAGGAGACCACTCAGTTCAATAAGAAAATGCTGTTCACATGAATAGATTTATTTATCTATTGTTATTATTTGGTGATTTTGGTCATTTTATCAACCACAGAGAAACCTTCAAATAATCTTTGAGCTGATTTTTTCCAATCTTAGAAAAAACAAACTTCTCATCTTCAACGTGCTTTGTCGTGGAACGAGAAAAAAGGGTAAGAGGGCCATTTCAAGGTATAATTATACGGAATAACTGCAGAATAATTTGGAAGTAACCATGAAAATTTCGTATAAGGCGCCAAAAATAAAATTAAGAAGCCACTCCAACATGATCTAAAACTAAAAGGAAAGAAAAAAAGATATTTACATGGTAGAATAACCAAGTGAATGAAGACAAAATTTCCGTTTGGTAAAGAGAGACGCAAAAGGGCTAATTCAAACAACAAAATTCATCAATTACACATTTGATTAAACTAGAAGCGGCACTTGAGCTCCGGATAAAACTTTAGTCAACAGGGAAAGCTCAAAATTAAACCTTTTTAAGAGAAATAAAAAAACAAAAAATTGTGGTCAAGGATGAAAATAAGCTTAACATGAACCCAAAAAAAATGAGTAACTAGAAAATTGAACTCCACAATGCGTATCCCCATTTTGAAAAGGCAAAAGCTCATAATTGGTGGTGAGAGAAGTTGAGGTTACCTGGACCTATCACCTATCAGAAACAACGAATCAGAAGAGATCAAACAAAGCAAATAGGATGAGAAAAACCCACATAAAAAAAAATCACAAAAACAAGCACAGCAGGGAGGATATGACACAAAGATCTGTCCAAAGCAGCACGTGGCAGAGATACACCCACATTACAAAGCTGAAGAAAGAAAAACACAAACGAAAATGGGAGCGAAACGCACCAGAATCAGCTGAGAATGTGAGAAACCTGGCTTATAGCTTGAAGCTCGATCTCACAAGATCTTCTTCTTCTTCTTCTTCCTCTCTTTCTGTCTCTGGTTGTGTGCTTCTTGTTTTGTTTTGTTTTGTTTTGTTTTGCAGGTGAGAGGGTGCCAAATACAAACAAAGTCCAAAATCTATGTATCAAATAATATTCTTTTGCTTTATCAAAAAACCCTTCTTTTTTTTCTCTCCCGTTTGTGTCCCTTCGTTTGTTTAAGGTTATTTATAGATCGGTTTTTCTGGTTATTAACGGCGGTTTGTTTTCGCTGAAATCCCTTCTCCTTCGTTGGTTGTCGGGCTACGGCGTTAATGGACAGTGAAGCTTCAACAGAGTGACGTTAAAGTCAATTGAAAAAGAAAACTGGTCATCCATAATAAAATTAAAAAATTAAAAAAGAGAGACATAAAAAGAAGGGACACGTATGATATCAGACGGATAAGTTATGAGATTTGGTGTTCTAGATATGCCTAAATATAGCAAAAAAAAAATTAGTAGAATAATATCTGCACAATAATATGCAGATTCATTCCTCCAATTTTATGTTTTCGATGCATTTATTGACACTTAATAATTTGTTAGTTTGTCCTTGATAAACAAAAACCGAGTTAGTTGTATTTACTATGTAGTTCAAACCAAATGATTAATTAGTTTTATTTTTGCTGTAAAGCAATGAAATGTCATTTTACATTTAAGTTTATACTTAATATATTTTTACGTTTATTAGTGAAATAAAATATAGAATCGTATTTTTATATTAATGAAAAGTATAGAATATTATCCCTTTAAAAAAAAGAATACGAGATTGGTATTTTATATTTTTCTATAATTTTTTTATAATTTTTAAATTTGACATAATAGTAAATTTAATACTGTATCAATGTCATAGAGTATAAGACCATAATTATAACGTATTAATTATAAGCAAAGAAAATAATAGTTGAAAAGAAGAAATGATATCAATTTTTTATTATCAAGTTATTAAAAAATCAATCTTGAATATTATTTAAAAATACACATTCAGTTTATCAAAAAAAAAAAAACACATTCATATAATATATGCAGGAGTTTTTTTTTAATAGAATTATATGTTTCATTTTCATCAATTTAAATTCAATTTTATATCGTATCTCATATACCAAATTGTGGAAATAATCTTTATCTCATTTTGTTTATAATCGTACTAAGTTATGAAATTTGAATAAACTTCCTAATCGAATTTATTAATTCTTGTTCTTATCCATTTCTTTTTTATTGAAATTTAACTTATTTCGCTAAATACAGCATAAAAATTATTTGACATATAAAATCATTATGTTATAATAAGAAATTATGATTATGGCTAACCTAAATGAAAAATAAATATAGTCTATTTCTAGCTAGGTTGTGTAAAATCATCACTTTTTTTTTCATTTGTCAATGCAAACTAAAAAAAAAAAAAAATTCTTCATTTTTCTTGTCGTGTCATTGCTGTGATATTATTTTATCATCCGCCGAATTTAAGTACAAAATAAAATAGAACGAAGTGAATTTTTTATTTTATTATTTTACAAGAATGAAGTGCCGTTTTATTTGGGTATTCAGTATTCTACATCTATCTTCAAAGTAAAGCGACAATTTTGATAGTACAAGCTTAATGATTAAAAGTCATAATCAAGAACAGGTTTAAGAAACAATCTCTCAGCCTGTCTAAGATAATTAGGATTAGGGATGGATAAAGTAGCTGGTGGGCACAACCGCAAATCAACCTTCTCTTCTTTTCTTTTCTTTTTTATCTCTCTTTTTTTCCTTTGCTTTTCTTTCTATATATTTTATCTTTAAATAAATGTCCTGCCATTTGATTTGACCAAACATAAAGGTTAGGCAACTAATAACTACTAACTAGTAAGCAAGCTAGGAAGTAGGAACCATGCATGCTCATCAACTCAACCGCTCCAATTCATGTTCACGCAATTCAAATCCAACATTTGTCCTAGATGTTGCCATAGAGCCACACTGTAAAATCACGTGACAGTTTAAATGTAATTATTACGTAACACGTGAATGTAATGATGGACATTTACTCTCTTTTCTCTCCCTGTCTCTCTGATTGAGGACGATGTTGAAGCTTGATAAATTAGTGTGACATACTGTTTAAGCATCGTGCTCAAGATACGGCCTCGCAACTAAGCTGAATAATATATTCGATGTCATTAACATATTAACATATTCTCTATATATATATATATATATATATATATATATATATATAGAATAGTGCTTTTTTTTTAGGGACAGGATCCGTTTACAAATTTTTTTGAATTTTTTTACAATTTACACTGTATTCTCCCGAGAAAATATAGTGTAGTTTGTAAAAGTTTGTATTCTTCCAAGAGAATATAGTGTAGTTTGTAAGAGTTTGTACACAAAAAAATTTGTAAATATAACCGTCCCATTTTTTTAATATAAAAGTGTGCGTTAACCTTCGTTCTGCGAATATATATGTAGGTATTATTGACATAAAGTTCTGCATTAGATAGGTGGTTGATAGTCCTCTCATTCACATCACAGATCCCAAGCTTCATTCTTAAGATAAAAAGTAACTTCTTGAAAATGTAATCTTTAGTTTTAGCTATATATATATGATCAATCAATGATAAATACGCACCATTTGCATTTTGTTTTCTTCCCGATGAGTAAATGTCGATTTGTTTTTCAAAATTAATTAAAAAGAGAATCTAAAATTTTTATTCTGTCTAATAATTTTTTGACAAATAAATAAATATATAGAGCAAAAAATACGAGCAGTTTCTTCTATTGCAAGCTATATGTTCAATTTTCAATTTTGGATAAGGGCTGGCTCGATAGGTGACTCCACCACCTTTTCATTATAACTTGCTCCCACACCTTGTTAGTTTCGGCACAGTGGCAGGCACACTTTCTCTCTCTCTTTTTTCTCGTTTTGCTCATCTTCTTCTAAAGCGCCCTTCTCTTTTTGAATTTGAAGTGCAAGGGAGGTAAATATCTATCTGATTCTGATCCATTTTAAATTTCTCAATTAAAAGCTTTTGTCGAGTTTAGGAAGTAGGAATTATTCATAAATTCAGTATCAATTTACTGATGATCTTATTAATTTTTGACCAAATATAAATACTGTTGTACTTGTAAGTAAAGAAGAGAGCCTTAAAAAGAAGGTTTCTTGGCGGTTGAGTATGAGAGGCATCCCCACGTATTGATATGTTTGTTTAATATATATATATATATATATAAGAAAAAATATTTCTGCAGTTAATGCAGATAAGTTATCTGCAATTATTCTTAAAACGACGTCGTTTTGGTATTGAAATCTTAAAAAATAAATATAAAGACTATTATAACTCTGAAATAAATTAAATTTACAAAAACACCATGATTTCCGTCCAAAACGACGTCGTATTGGACTTACTGCTGCTAACTTATCTACAGTAACTGCAGAAAAAGCGAACCCATATATATATATATATGAGGTAGGATCCTTTGACACCGGTGTCAATTTGAAGTTTGACACATCGTCTGAGAGCCGTTAGATCGAAAAAGATGCTTACAAATCAGAGTCATTGATCTTTTTCGATCTAACGGCTCTCAGATGAGGTGTTAAACTTCAAATTTGACACCTGTGTCAAAGGATCCTACATATATATATATATATATATATATATATATATATATATATATATTGGTAATGTTGTTATTTAGTCTGCAAAAAAAAAAAAACAATGTTGTTATTTAATGCGGAAGTTCAAAACATCAAATGATACTATGGTAGAGAATTTCATCAATTATGGACAACCTCTTGTAGTGGCTTAAATTAATTGACAAATTATTCATCACCTATATATTTAGAGCATTTACTTCATGCCAACATACTTTTGGCATACAACTTAAAGTTTGAAACCAATATCAACCTGCGGCTGCTATAGAGATGTTCCTTCTTTATTATTATTATTTTATTTTATTTTGAACAAGAGTGGGTCAAATTCTGCTGGTCAAAGTGACAATGTGACACTCTACACAGTGACTTGTCTCGGAAACTTTCTTTTTTGATATGTAATATGGTAGTATTTGCATGTTATGCGATGCAGTTGAAGGCTTCAGTCTCACGCTCGCAGATATTGTTGTGGTTTGTGAACATTTATAAAGAATTGTGTCTAATTGCCTCTCAGTTATTGGAATCTATTCTCTTCCAGTCTTCCTAATTCCTGTGGAACAATGTAGAACCTTTGAACTTTGAAGATAAAGTATGCTACTCGGTTTTGGACTGACGAGGAAAAAGGAGGACTTAAAAAGATGCTTTGTCCTATTGCTTTTGCATTTTCCACGCGTATGCTACTTAATATTTTAACATTTGATGCTCTTACATTTTTAATCATTAAATTTCATATTAAAATTATGGGTTTAAAGTTTCTCCTATGCACACATAAAAATATTTGGAGTTCATGTAAGGAGAAAAGAGAGAAAGAAAAAATATGGATCTCACAAACTTTGATTGCCTAAAATTATTGGCATTGTTACATTGTATGATAATATTTATTAATATTCAACTAACAAAATTACTGTACATTATAAAGAAGTTTAGAAGAATTAACAAAATTTAACCTTTGTTTTCAAACGTGAGACCTACTTTTTGGTACTCACTTTTGAATATCCCGATTTTCCCTCCTTTCAAGACTTCCACAAAGTAAAAAAATTGCACCCTTCGTTTCTAAAGTTATAATTATCCTCTTCAACAACAAAACGGCTTATTGGTGAGTGACATACAGCAATTTAGACTGAGAGAAGAATTCAAGAAAATTCCAAAGTGGGAGTGGTTATAGGAAATTATAGGCCATAGGATGGTTCCTTTTAATTAATTTCCTATGTTATGGGACCTCCTCTGTCTCATTAAGCTAATTGATTCTGTACGAACTCTTTGACTATTTGAACCACTTAATTATCCTCTTCAACAACAACAAGCCTATGATAGTAACACAGTAGTGAACGACGTGAAAGAGGGTAGGAAGATCAACCCGCAATAGGTGGAGTTTCGATTGCCCTTAACTTTTAATACATGTTTAATTATCTTGTTTTATAAACTTAAAGCCATGATGGATCTCCAACCCACCAAACCATGTATGTATGTATATACATACATCATTTTGTGACTTAATCCTTACGGGGAAGACTTAATTGTTACATTTTGTTTAGAGCATTTATATTTACGCATTTTTCTGTACACTTTTATATAAATTATTAGATAATTTGTGCATTTCATTATTTATTTTTTTAAATAACTCGAATCAGACGTGCAATTATTTTTTTTCCCCTTTTCTATATCCGGCATCTTAAAGTTCAGTGCGTATTATATATACAAAATACCAACCACACATAGCTTTCCAATTCCAAATGAATTCCCCATCTCAACCGACACCTCATTTTTTTTTCTCTTTTTAAGTATAATTAAAACGCACCACTCACGTGGATCGAACGCGTAGGCTTTAATTGTATATGTTTTAAATTTTAATAATTAATGACATGTAAGTGTCACCCGATACATGTTATTTTCAATCAATTTTATATGCCTGAAGACCTTGTAGGTTAGTATATAGTAGATTATCCCCCCACCCTATGACAATTTCAGATTATAGAGACAATTTTTCATATGAAATAATTATTTGTTTTATTGACCGTTCACAATTGCGCTTCTCTTTATACCTTATTGAAGTCATATTTTTTATATATAAAGTCTTATTATATATATATATCGCTTAATACTTGACCCGACAACCTTAGATTAATGCTAAACTAATATGATTATATTGATTCAAATCATTTGATTAATATTTTAATATGCATCATTGGAAATGGACTTTCCACATTAATGGTTAATATGTGATACATTTCGATCAGTGAAAGTATAGTATTAGCAGAGCGAGCTAGGTAGCAGATAAGGATTGAATCGAACATGTATATATATGTTTAAGTGCCGTGTTCTAGTCCATTACTTCAGCATCCACAAATGGGGGGCCATAATCGATCCTTAAGCACTCACTTTCAGTTTTATCTTTTAATTAATTGCACCGAATATAGTCTATATATATATATGTGTGTGTGACTTAAACCATGGTTCGATAACTACTCATCCTTTCAACTTGTTTTGATGATGTTTGGCTTATTATATATGGGAAACATATATATTATACTCCACGTCTGTAAACATGCATATTAATTTGTATATAAAACAGATAATCATAAGAACGAGACGTGGAATCTTAACTGATGAAATGACTAGACAGTTGTCTAAAAAGCCAATCCTAAAGAAGGAGAAAACCATTTCTGAATGCACTTTGTCAAGTTTAATCAATTTGGTGTCCCACGCTGATGCCCCAACTGATCAACCGTCTCCATCACTCCACTGAAAGAGATGTAAATCTTAAAAGGGAATCATACAATTATCTTAAAATAAAAAATAAATAATGGACTCCATATATATATATAGTTCTTTTCTTATAATTAATCAATCACATACAATAAAAAAAATGTGAATTTTTATCACATAATATATATAATCGTTATTATATATGCTTGGCGTGCTCGTATACATGCATCAATAAAGAAACGCATAAGATGCTCGGTTGAGAAATGTATAAAAGAAAAAAAGTCCATACCTGCATCTGCATATATGTCTTTGATTTAGTGTATATGATTGATGTTTGCAAGCAGCCTGCAGGTAGTCATCATTTTATTTTTTTAGTACAAAGGTAGTCATCATTAAGCTACACCATATCTACTACTGGTTTTAACTTATTTATTAACATGATGTGGGAGAGACAAATCGTCTTATATTATCTAAATCCAGCGCATTGAGTAGAGCTACATATAGTAATTTTTCACACTCACCAAATTTTTGTTTTAACTTTTCTGCTGTTGTTGTGTTTAATTATCATTTGGTGAATGTAGCGGCTGTTAATGCTAATCTAGGCTTTATCACAGAGAAAAGGACTACACATGCAAAAAGGCCCTGTGGCCTGTGGGTTCATTTGATATTGTATGGTTCCTGTAACAGCCCGTTACGTACCGGTATTGTTAACATTAATTATGATATTAAGCGCAGTTACAATCACAGCAGTTCATTTATAAAAGCGAGAATAAATTTTTTTCCGACTATTACGCGAGCATTTAAATCATAAAAAGGCGTAATAATTAAAAGCTGTGACCGTAACCGTAAACTCTTGCGGAAGACTTATTTAAACTGTTTTTATCACTTACGTTACTTATTATAAGTTACTAAGGAGTTCCCATAAACTCACTTAGCCAATTTCCAACTTTACGTTTTATACCAATTCGAACATGTTACACTCTAAGTTTTTCTGCGACCAAACCGATCGCAACCAACCCTACTTCTCAGATTATATCTTTGTGTTACTTAATTCCCTTTTTAACAAGCTAAAATACGCTCAATTCGGAGCTCATTTGCTCCGGTTATCGCCGTTTGAAGTTGGATAAGCGATTAGCCCAAACAACCCCAAAAACAGCTCCAAACCACTCACATTGCTCGAATTACTGCACTCAATCCACTCAACCATTTGCCCTCAAATTTTTATCCTACAAACTAGGCACCTCAAACTTCATTTTGATATATCACACGCTCAATTTGACCGAGAAACGAAGCGGGAATTAATTTCCCAAATCCGGTCCAGAATCTGCCTCAGGTGCAGGGGCACATGGGCAGTCCGTGTTTCTCTATTTTTTTCAGGCCGAAGATCAACCCATATTTTCCTCAAATTTGGACACAAGGTAGAGGACATCTCAACCTTCAAAATGGCGTATGGCACGTCCCTAGGGGACTTCTATGGAGGGAGATATGCTCTCCCGAAGTTCGCCTAAAATCTGCCAATTCTACAGAAAATTCGCCAGAGTTTCCTTTGTTTTTCCAATAATCCCAAATTTGTAAAAGATCATTTAACCTCAATTGTACCTAATAAACACATGATAATACAGTAATAATCCAATGGGTGGCACACACAAGGACCAACAACGCCTTGGGGCACTTACAACCCAATCCAGTTTATAGTTATTAAACATAGAGTCCATATTAATCATTCTTAAGTAGTTGCAATCACTAACACCTTTTTCATGCATATTTCCATCATACATATTATCATAACCTAAGATAAGCCTAAGGCCCTTCCATCATAGTTAGACATGCATCAATACTATTACAATATGGCTTTACAAATTACAACTTGAAACTAAAACTTCAAATTACATTCTTCTAAAATTTCAACTTAATTTAAAAGACAACATAACCAAATACATCACTACTAGACTTAGGCAAAATGGCATGAACAAGATGCTAATGAAGCTACTAATAAATACAAATGACATGTTCATGCCCTAAGTCTAGCCTAGGCCACACGGCCAACAAAATGCAAAATATGAAGCGCTCCAGCGCTCACTCTGCGGGCCTCTTGCCCGAGGCTCCTGCTCCACTGCTACCTCCTGAAATAAATGCCCCGAGACGGGGTGAGATATACGAATATATCTCAGTAACCAAGAGGTTCTGGAGAAAACTCCACCCAATGGTTCACTTCGATGCATATCAATAGAATACAACAACCACTTTGAAAACGGGATATAGCAAGGGATTTAGAGAAGGGGGAATATAAGGAAAACAAAATACGACGATACGGGATGGTAACCCCAATTCCACGTACGCCCTCGGCATATATAAGCCTATGGGTATCATCCAAGGTGTGTTCACAGAAACCACAACCATGATGCCCAAACCAACCAAAACGCCAAAGACATTCCTAGTGTGCTCCTACCCGGATCACACACCATGACCGCAGTCAACTGGAACTCCCTCCTGGAGACCTATCCAGCGGAAGTCCGAAAATGCCCGAAGGCTAATAAAACTGTCTACTGGCCAGAGACTCGGTACCGCAGTACCCATAGCAATAATGCATGCATGCTCATGTGTTCTATACTATTCATACACACTTCCTACCGTTGCCATCAACTGGCAAGGTGGAACAGAAAAGGGGAACAAGCCCCAGTACCAAGAGGTTACCTTAATTCGTGTTTCCACAAGCTCCGCAGCAGCTTATCCCTCAACTCGGTACACAGCGGAATGCCTACACAGAAGACATTCCCAATCACTCTCAGTTCAACCCATACATGTTAATTTATAATTACACATGCAATGAACCAATTTCTTACCTCAATCCACTTGGTCCAAGACCAATGGCAACTCACTGAATCAAGATTCGGGATTCAAGTCGATGTACGGCAACCTATAAAATCACATACAACCATCAGCACGCGTCAAATAACGTCAAAACGTCAAAATCACAAAATCTCCCCATCCACCCTTGATGGTTCGGCCAAATGAGTGTTAATTTGAGATTTATTTTTCTAAATTTTCTTTCCCATTTTATTATGCCTCATTAAGTTGTCAAGAGGCCAATTCAAGTGCCGTTTCGTCATTTTCGCGTCAAATTACATCAGAACGCGAAAACCGCAAAATGAAGGTTCGGCCATCTATGTGTTATTTGGGGATTTATTTTTCTAAATTTTCTTTCTCATTTTAGTACCCATCCTTGGGTTGCCATAAGGCCATTTCAACTGTCGTTTCGCCGTATTACGACATTTACGCATCGTATTGCGAAATATTTCACTCTAGGTTCTTTATGCCAACTAAACCGCTTATTATTTTTCCATTGATTCTAACACTTGCCAACCACCACACAACCCATCTAATTACCTTTTTAACACATAATTCATCACTCAAACAATTTCCAACAACATAAATTTCATAACTTTCCTTTAAAGGCCAAGTTGCATCCTATGGCAATTCTAGGATTTCCATTCACTTCTAATCACTCCACATCTCACACAACCACATTATATCATCATATAATCATACCACAATTCATCAAACAATGCCTCAACACAAAATTCCAAAGTCCCAAAATCATGACCTCAAATTCACTAAGTTAAAATCATCACATTTCACCTAAAATTTTCATTGCATTTCTAGCATTAATACATCATTCTAAGGCATTATCATCTAATACACATTTTCCAATTGAGCTCCCTAACACAACACATCATCAAATCAAGCTTTAGGTTTTCAAAATTTCAATCACAATTAAACCATGTAAATGGGATGGAAACATACTCACAACAAAGGCTAGAAGCTAACCCAAGACTCCTCCAAGCAATGGAAGATCAAAAGCTCCATGAACATCCAATTTTCTTCAAATTTTCGGATCTGATTTTTGCCAAATGCTCCACAAAGAGGCGATTTCAAGGCTTAAGAGTGGTACCAATGTGTTTAGAAGGTCTTTTCCAACAAATTTCAACACAAATTTTGTTGGATTTGGTGGAGAAATGAGTGATTTGTGAAGAAAAGAAAATCAAGAAGAAATGGGCATGGGGGAGGCTGTTCCAGCGTGAAGAAGAAGGAGGGGAGGAGAGAGAAAGTGTGAAGAAATGGTGAGTTTGACTCACTTAAGTCACAGGCGGGTCCCACACGCGTTTTAACTTTAATCAATCACCTAATTTCAACCACAAATTCATGACCTACGTATTTTTCTTGTTCATGTCATATTTTTGTTTCCCCAAAATACTGATAAAATTTTCACGCTTATCGGTACAATTATACCGCAGTATTTTTCCACCGGAAAATCACTATTCATCAATTTTTCCCAAAATGACTCAATTCCATCAAATTTCATCAAAATCATATTTCCTAACTCAAAAAACCATTTATAACTCATATTTGGAACCTAGAGCTCAAAATTCAACTGACACGTTTTACGGTGCAATCGTAACGCGATATTTTTACCCGCGAAAAACACTATTCACTGATTTTTCTGAAACTTGCCTATCCACTCAATTTTTCGTTCTGAACCCATTTCCAGGGTTATTTTTACCATCTGAGACCTTCTACTCAATTTTTATCTTCCTAGGGTTGCGTGTTGGCTAATTACCGTTTTGCCCTTTCTTTGTATTTTGGCCTAATCTTTAGGATTTTCACTAATTCATCACTTGATTGCTCATTTAATATTTTAATTTATTTATTTAAAATTGTGAGGTGTTATACTCACCCCAACTTTTTAGAATTTTGTCCGCAAAATTAAATCATACTCATCCGCTAACTGAGGACACAGTCGGAGAATCTCATCATCCCGCTCCCAAGTAGCATCCTCAAGTGTGTTCCTTTACCACATTACTTTTATCACAAGCATGATCTCCTTTTTATGATACTTATTATCCTTTGATCATTCACAATCACTTGTCTCTCATGGTTCTGTGACCTTTTAATTCACAATACTTTACACTTTTTCTGGTCTCCCGTTACCCTTTCGCTAATTTGTAGGTAATAATATAACAATATTACGGATTTGTCGGTATCAATTTACCTCATTCTCATCCTTATCCATCTTTCTGACCCATGGTCGTTCTCAAAAGCATCTAATCGCTTTCATGCACATTCACTAGTTATTCCTGGAGTATTTCCAACTCACTTTCTTTAGTACTTAACTTTTTTCGCGGTCCTCACTGTTTTGACAATACCCCAACAACCATTTCTTTCCATTACTGTCACTACTCTTATCATTTCATTGTTTTCTTGGCTTTCACCCAACCACATGCTTTCTAGTTTCAAAGGCACTTTGTCGTATCCTACAATTCCGATTCACATTAAATTCTATACTCATTTACTTTATTTTTCCTTGTCACGTGTCTTCACCTCTTTTTAGGTACTCACAACTATATCTTTCTCTTTGTGATACGAAACTAGCAATACCCATACTAGTTTATATTTTCGATTAGCCCTATAAGGTCTTTCGACCACAAATACTCACGAAATTTTTCCATCTACAAACTCATATTTATAATTTACACTCATTGTTAAACTCTTTATTAGCTTAACCATCTCAACTTTACCAACTTAACCAGCTCAACTCCATACTTAGACCTCTCACAGTCTAAACACAACACTCATTAATGACTTTCGTATCAAAGGTCTTATGCCTAAGGTTTTCACCAAGTAACCATTTTTACTCATCATCCTGTAACAATATTATAGATTCAACATCATTTTTCATTCATTTATACCCTCACTTCTTCATTATCGACATTTTTATCATGGATGTCCACTTTAAAATACTATAAACTCACAGCTTTACTAACTTCCACCAATCATCTTGGTTGTTCGAATCAAACAACCACACCAAGCCATTTCACTACTAACTGATGGACCCTTAAAAATGCCATGCCTCTCACATGCAAGTCTCATCCTATAGGAATCTTTGAAACTTGATTATCAAGTCACATAAAACTAAATCCATCATTGCCCCTACTTATACAATTCACCACTGGTTGGTATATCAGTCTCTCGGAACATTCGAAGTTACCACAAGCACTCGACCATATATTATTAGTACCTAACCAAAACAACGTCAGCATTGTGCATTTTCCATACACTTTCCACCATAAGTGGTATATGCGATTATATATAACACTCCTCAATCTACTCCACCCGTAAGTCAGGCTATCAAATTTTAGGTAACCAATTACAATTCCAGTTTCCAACTATATTTACACATTCGTGCTTGATTCCATCACAATTTACCTTTTATAAGGGCTTATAATTCACCGTTTTAACCTGAATTCTTGATCATCACCAGCCTTCTTAGAAGGACACTTACTCCATCTGTCAACACTAAATCACACTATTATCTCTTTTATCATAAGGCGAGGATTCCAACAAACTTACAACCTCACTTGGAGCCGATATTATTTCATCGAACTTACTTTACACCCACAATAGTGCTTCACTATCACACTACAAAATTTTTACCCATTATACCTCATCTCTTATATCCAAATCTGACATATTTTGTTCATTTACAAACATCTGACCTCATATTTTGCGTTAATCACATGGAAGAACTCTCTCAATACAGTGGGTAACAACATTCACAGGTTTTAACCGCTCGAGCTCTTGCTGTCCTCAGGGCCCCAGATGTAATGACCCACCGATCAGAGAATCCACCCATATAATCCATGCATTAATGATAACCTACCACCTGCTGACTGTGTTCTATTAGTATTCCCAACATTTCTTATTTGTGCACTCATGTAGACCAACTCAACTATAATAGCAGTCTCATCACTGCGGGATACTCCCTCATCTCATATCACTCATATAACATAATAATAGTCTCCGGGAACATAATCCACACGGAGATGGCTACACACTTCGGGCACCTAACCCGCACAGAGATGGTAATATCAATATACACCTGTTATATATATAAGTCAATTGACATTTTAGCTCTTTTGCTAAACACATAATTCCACACTCTTATTTCATTCTTCAGGTTGTACATTAGCTAAATCTCTAATCATACAATCTCTTTAGATACTTCCCATCATCGGGGATTTCATTCGGCCTCATTGTCCTTTTACAAAAAAATTTAATAATTTACCTCAACACGGATAATTAGGCGCTCAGGCCGTCACAAGGTGTACATACATATATATGTATACTGGCACTTAGGCCATCACTGGATTATTATCCGTTTATTCATCAGAATAGGTATACTGGCCATCAGGCCATTAGGTATTATTCACAATGCATTACAACATCCACAAATAATTAGGCCATTTTAAATTACGATATTCATTCTCTGAGATTTCCAAGAGACCTCCATCATGGACCATCCCTTATGCTTCATAACACCTAATCTCTACATAGTAGCCATTTCCAAGGAGAATTCCACACATTAACGCACACATAGAGTCATATTTGTTTCCTTCATGGCATATCGGTCAAGCTAAACCATTATTCCGTTACGGACAATCATACTCTCAATGAACCTTGTTCAATGCCATCCATGGC